CATGACTTTGCATCTTTCAACTTTTTGTACCAAAAATGGAATAGAATTGATCGCCCTGTATCCAAATTCTACGCATTTACTACAACCAATGGATGTAGGTGTATTCAAGCCATTGAAGAGAGCCTGGAAAGATGAGGTACTAAAATGGAGGCTTGATAATTCTGGAAATAAGTCACAAAAACAACATTTTGCACCATTAGCGAAGAACGCATTAAAATCCATTTCTCAGCAATCCATCATGAATGCGTTTAGAGCTACCGGCTTGTGTCCTTTTAATGTTGAAAATGTCAAATTTGACAAAATTTCACAGCGCCAGGTTGTGGTAAGAAATATTAGGAGCAACACAGCAATATTTATAACGGCACTTGAAGAAAGAATTGGTAAAAACAAATTACACAAATTTAAAAATTGTCATTCAAATGATCAGCAAATAGAATTAACAGATACATCACTATTTCAAATTTGGAAGGACGCATATGAAGAAATAAATAAAAGAGTGGATAAAGAACAAGCAAAAACTATTTGTAATATTGTGCAAAATCCAGAGTATGAAAACGATGAATCCTCAGAATCTATTAGACCTTTAAACAGTCAGGCAACTGAAATAACACGAAAACTTTGTGACTCATCCAAACCAGGAACTTTAAGGGATCCTGATTACCAGTTTTGTAGTTCTGAAAAACTAATACCTACTGAAGGTAATGCTAGAGAAGTTTGTGACTCACCCAAACCAGGAACTTCAAAGGATCCTGATTACCAGTTTTGTAGTCCCGAAAAACTAATCACTACTGGAGTTGATGCTGAAGAAACTGTTTTAAACAGTACCTTTCCTTTTGATGTGCCATCGCCTTTTAAAAGAGCATTATTCTGGCCAGATCCGACTCCCAGAAGAAACAAACAGAGAAGAAGTAAGGAGAAAATTCCATCAGTTGTTAGTTCAGAAGCGTGGCAAAACTACCATAGGAAAAAAGAAGATGAGAAAACAAGAAAACTTGAAGAAAAAGAAAGGAGTCTAAGAGAGCAAAAGAAATTAGACCAAATTAAGAAAAGGAAACAAGAAACCTCTGATTCTGAAAGTAGTGAAGACTGGGTAGAAAGTGGTGACAGCTTAGATGATATAGAAATCAATAAGCAAGAAGAAACTGAATTTTCAGAAGTAGATGCTGTTGGTGTAGTTGCTGTAGGAGACTATCTACTTGTTAAGTTTCGTGGGGGAAAAAGAAAAACTGTTACGTATAAGTATGCTTGTGTTGCTCAAAACGTATTTCCTGTAGAAAGTGAGGTAGAAGTGATGTGCCTTAAAGCAACAAAAAATGTTGAAAAAACTCAATTTAGAACTGATGAAAATGACATTTCAACTATCAAATTTTTAGATATAATTGGTAAATTACACACTCCTGAGATTGTAACTTCAGGAGATAGGCTAAAATATAATTTTTCAAAGCCTATCGATGTATTTGAGGCACCTTAAATACCTACTATGAAGTGCATTTTTCACTTAATATTTTTTCATTTAAGTTTCTTTTCTTATGGAGTGCATTTTTTACGTAATATTTTTTTATGTAAGTTTCTTTTTTTTTAATACATAGTTTAGTTTTTTTAAATTATTAGAATATCATTAATAATTAGTTTTTTTGGGATTTTATCATGTCAATAACTGGGATGTCAAAAATTGGATTTTTCCAAAATTGGTATGTCAATTACTGGGTAAAAAAAATTGTTCTGTTTCAACACTAGAATAAACCATAAAAAATGTGTCTTTTTATTATTTAAACATTCGAGTACATTAACACCATTGCAAAGTATTCCCTGAACAAATTTTGATTTCAGCAAATGTGATAAATGAAGAGTAGGAATATTTTAATGAACTTTGTCGCTCTAACTGTGTCAATAACTGGTAGGTTTACCTTATATGTGGATATACAATGGCGTAACAGCGCAGTCAAAAATATAACTTATTTTACTTTTGAGTCAATTTTTTTGCTCGCAAGTGTAGAATTTTATTATTTTCGTTTCTGATACATCTAATATGATTAAAATATGTTGCTTTCTTTGTTCTTTGTTTGGCTATTTTGTATATCCTTCAACTTCCCTGGAATCAAGGTTTTTGGCAACCTTGTTTAGCAACAAAAGGTATTTTTGAAATATAATTTTACGAATTCTGAAAGAAAATTAAGAATAAGAGAAGGACAATTTAAGTAATAAACTTTAATACAAAATGTTTACATTTACACAATAATACTATACTGTTCGAATAAGTTGGACAAACATTTTCTGGTCTGAGTTAATATATTATTACACCGAACTGCCTTCAACCGGATATATCTGCCTAGAGACAGATCGACTGCGTGACGAATCGACTTTGACTATAATTTACTCGTTTGACTGATTTTAAAGTGTCAGTAGTTCAGTTCAGTTGTGAGCTTCTCTGCGTGGCAGTCAGTGGTGATAATGTTGTGTTCCGTGTAATACATGTTATTCTTGCTTGTTCAAAGATGGATACTCCTAAGAAGCATGTTAAAGTTATCGCTCTTAAACTCTTATAACTCTGGGAGATATAGCTACTCTACAGAAAAGGATTATGGAAGTTGGCCGGAAGAAAAAGAAAAGAAAGCGAAGAAAAAACAATTTCTAACACGGAAAATTATGAAAAATGCTAACGAAGTCCAAAAATACCGATAATGTACTATTGACGATTGAAAAAAAGTGATTTTCAGTGATGAATTACATTACGAAGTGAAGTGAACCTCTGCGACGCCGATGAGATTATATTCAACAAACTAAAATACTCTTTTAAACAGATTTTTTGGGTTTTGTATCTTTCAACTTTTTGTACCAAAAATGGAATAGAATTGATCGCCCTGTATCCAAATTCTACGCATTTACTACAACCAATGGATGTAGGTGTATTCAAGCCATTGAAGAGAGCCTGGAAAGATGAGGTACTAAAATGGAGGCTTGATAATTCTGGAAATAAGTCACAAAAACAACATTTTGCACCATTAGCGAAGAACGCATTAAAATCCATTTCTCAGCAATCCATCATGAATGCGTTTAGAGCTACCGGCTTGTGTCCTTTTAATGTTGAAAATGTCAAATTTGACAAAATTTCACAGCGCCAGGTTGTGGTAAGAAATATTAGGAGCAACACAGCAATATTTATAACGGCACTTGAAGAAAGAATTGGTAAAAACAAATTACACAAATTTAAAAATTGTCATTCAAATGATCAGCAAATAGAATTAACAGATACATCACTATTTCAAATTTGGAAGGACGCATATGAAGAAATAAATAAAAGAGTGGATAAAGAACAAGCAAAAACTATTTGTAATATTGTGCAAAATCCAGAGTATGAAAACGATGAATCCTCAGAATCTATTAGACCTTTAAACAGTCAGGCAACTGAAATAACACGAAAACTTTGTGACTCATCCAAACCAGGAACTTTAAGGGATCCTGATTACCAGTTTTGTAGTTCTGAAAAACTAATACCTACTGAAGGTAATGCTAGAGAAGTTTGTGACTCACCCAAACCAGGAACTTCAAAGGATCCTGATTACCAGTTTTGTAGTCCCGAAAAACTAATCACTACTGGAGTTGATGCTGAAGAAACTGTTTTAAACAGTACCTTTCCTTTTGATGTGCCATCGCCTTTTAAAAGAGCATTATTCTGGCCAGATCCGACTCCCAGAAGAAACAAACAGAGAAGAAGTAAGGAGAAAATTCCATCAGTTGTTAGTTCAGAAGCGTGGCAAAACTACCATAGGAAAAAAGAAGATGAGAAAACAAGAAAACTTGAAGAAAAAGAAAGGAGTCTAAGAGAGCAAAAGAAATTAGACCAAATTAAGAAAAGGAAACAAGAAACCTCTGATTCTGAAAGTAGTGAAGACTGGGTAGAAAGTGGTGACAGCTTAGATGATATAGAAATCAATAAGCAAGAAGAAACTGAATTTTCAGAAGTAGATGCTGTTGGTGTAGTTGCTGTAGGAGACTATCTACTTGTTAAGTTTCGTGGGGGAAAAAGAAAAACTGTTACGTATAAGTATGCTTGTGTTGCTCAAAACGTATTTCCTGTAGAAAGTGAGGTAGAAGTGATGTGCCTTAAAGCAACAAAAAATGTTGAAAAAACTCAATTTAGAACTGATGAAAATGACATTTCAACTATCAAATTTTTAGATATAATTGGTAAATTACACACTCCTGAGATTGTAACTTCAGGAGATAGGCTAAAATATAATTTTTCAAAGCCTATCGATGTATTTGAGGCACCTTAAATACCTACTATGAAGTGCATTTTTCACTTAATATTTTTTCATTTAAGTTTCTTTTCTTATGGAGTGCATTTTTTACGTAATATTTTTTTATGTAAGTTTCTTTTTTTTTAATACATAGTTTAGTTTTTTTAAATTATTAGAATATCATTAATAATTAGTTTTTTTGGGATTTTATCATGTCAATAACTGGGATGTCAAAAATTGGATTTTTCCAAAATTGGTATGTCAATTACTGGGTAAAAAAAATTGTTCTGTTTCAACACTAGAATAAACCATAAAAAATGTGTCTTTTTATTATTTAAACATTCGAGTACATTAACACCATTGCAAAGTATTCCCTGAACAAATTTTGATTTCAGCAAATGTGATAAATGAAGAGTAGGAATATTTTAATGAACTTTGTCGCTCTAACTGTGTCAATAACTGGTAGGTTTACCTTATATGTGGATATACAATGGCGTAACAGCGCAGTCAAAAATATAACTTATTTTACTTTTGAGTCAATTTTTTTGCTCGCAAGTGTAGAATTTTATTATTTTCGTTTCTGATACATCTAATATGATTAAAATATGTTGCTTTCTTTGTTCTTTGTTTGGCTATTTTGTATATCCTTCAACTTCCCTGGAATCAAGGTTTTTGGCAACCTTGTTTAGCAACAAAAGGTATTTTTGAAATATAATTTTACGAATTCTGAAAGAAAATTAAGAATAAGAGAAGGACAATTTAAGTAATAAACTTTAATACAAAATGTTTACATTTACACAATAATACTATACTGTTCGAATAAGTTGGACAAACATTTTCTGGTCTGAGTTAATATATTATTACACCGAACTGCCTTCAACCGGATATATCTGCCTAGAGACAGATCGACTGCGTGACGAATCGACTTTGACTATAATTTACTCGTTTGACTGATTTTAAAGTGTCAGTAGTTCAGTTCAGTTGTGAGCTTCTCTGCGTGGCAGTCAGTGGTGATAATGTTGTGTTCCGTGTAATACATGTTATTCTTGCTTGTTCAAAGATGGATACTCCTAAGAAGCATGTTAAAGTTATCGCTCTTAAACTCTTATAACTCTGGGAGATATAGCTACTCTACAGAAAAGGATTATGGAAGTTGGCCGGAAGAAAAAGAAAAGAAAGCGAAGAAAAAACAATTTCTAACACGGAAAATTATGAAAAATGCTAACGAAGTCCAAAAATACCGATAATGTACTATTGACGATTGAAAAAAAGTGATTTTCAGTGATGAATTACATTACGAAGTGAAGTGAACCTCTGCGACGCCGATGAGATTATATTCAACAAACTAAAATACTCTTTTAAACAGATTTTTTGGGTTTTGTTCACAACAAATGGTACTAGACGATTAGTTCCTATTAAAGGCATGATGAATTTTGCCAAATACATTGAAATATTACGCAGGATTGCTCCATTTATCGAAACATTTCAACATCACGTGCCAACTTGTTACAATTCGAAATTGGTCCAGACTTTTATGCTGGAAAATACAGTAAAAGTGCTTCATTGGCCTGGTAATGGTGGTTAAAGGTTAGTAAAGGGCCTCGGAGGCAGTACGAGTTGTCGATGCTCGAACTGCAATAAAACTCTGAGAAACGTCCACTGTTTTCTGACGAAAAAGTCGGAAGTTCTAGGAATAGAACTCAGCTCTGCCAACAAATTCTACTCTCACGTCCTCGAAGGCAATAATGGAACATGCTAAGTTGGTATCGACCTGGAATTTCCACAAGAGCAATAAAACAGCTGGAAGAACTACAATACGATGTGACTGCAATCCAAGAAGTCAGATGGACTGGGTCTGGGACAATCCAAATGGAGAAGTCAATAGTGCTATGGTCGGGACATGAAACATGTCACGAAAGAGGGTGTGGTTTTGTTATAAGCGAAAGGGTTAAATCTGCTATACTAGATTTCAAAGCAATTAATGATAGAGTCTGTAGCATAAGAATAAAGGGCAAATGGTTAAATCTATCGATATTCTCAGTGTATGCACCAACCGAAGAAACAGCAGAGGAAGAGAAGGAAGAATTCTATGACTCCCTAATCCGATTATACACGGAAGCCCCAAAACATGACATCAAAATAATATTAGGGGACTTAAACGCAAAAATAGGCAAAGAAGAACACAAGGCCGGTAGCTGGAAATCAGTGTCTACATGACATTACCAATGACAATGGTTCAAGGCTGATTGAGTTTGCAGTAGGGTGCAACATGATTATCAAAAGCACCCAATTTGCCAGGAATAACATATATAAGGTAACATGGAGATCAAATGATGGAAGAACGAGGAACCAAATTGATCACGTATTAATTGATGGGAGGCATTCCAGTAGTATAATAGATGTAAGAACTAGACGGGGACCAGATAGTGATACAGACCATTTCCTAGTAAAGGCCAAGCTCAGAACTAGAATCTCAACACAAACAACAGACAAACAGATGAAGATCGAAAGATGGAATGTGTCTAAATTGGAAGAAGAGGAAAAGAGACAATACCAACTAGAATTGATAAACAGATTCCAGGTGTTGGAAACGAAAGAAAATGAAAGAGAAAATATAGACCAGAAATGGTACTCCATTAAAACGATCATTACAGAAACAGGAGAGAAGTGTATAGGTCGGAAGAGAAAAGCAAAAAGAAAAAAATGTTTTGATGAAGAATGCGAAGATACCTTAAAAGAAGCAAACAAAAGAAGAATCGACTACCTAGCAAACCCGACGGATGAAAAGAGTGAACAATACAATAGAGAGAGAGCCTTAGCCAGAAGAACAGTAAGGAGAAAAAAGAGACAAAATTTACAACAACAAATTGAAAAAGTAGAACGTGAACACAGAAGCAAGCAAAATAAAAAAGTCTACAAAGAAGTAAGACAACATAAGAAAGGTGCATATATAAGAACACCGAACTTTGTGAGAGATAAAAATGAGCAAATGATTACAGCTGAAAATAAAATAATCGAAAGATGGGCTGAATACTTTGAAAGTCTTCTAAATGTCCAGGTGGACGCGGATGGAAATAAAGCGATAGAAACCCTAAAAAATGACAAATCCCCGGGACTAGACAATATTGATGCAGAACTGATTAAAAAAGGAGGGCATGAACTTAGAACTAAAATACACCAATTAATGAAAGAAGCCTGGGAACAAGAAATAATGCCAAAAGAATGGAGTGGCTGTATTATCGTGCCAATACATAAAAAGGTAGAAAGGATACATGTGGCAACTACAGGGGAATCTCAATAATCGGTACTACATATAAGATATTAGCTTCAGTTGTACTAAAACGATTACTGCCATATACAGAGGAAATTATTGGCGATTACCAATGCGGCTTTAGGCCTGGAAGATCAAGAATCGACCAAATATTTACTATCAGACAAATGCTAGAAAAGTATTGGGAATATAATAAAGAAGTACACCAGATCTTCATAGATTTCAAACAAGCATATGAATCCATAGATCGCTTAAAACTGTGGAGTGCAATGATGGAGTTAGGCGTACCAAAGAAGCTGACCATGATTGCGCGAATGTGTGTCAACAATTCCTTTGCACAAATTAGAATAGGAGGCAAAACTTCAGAGGCTTTCGGCATAAGCACCGTGCTCAGACAGGGAGACCCGCTGTCCCCATTACTATTTAACCTAGCATTGGAATACGCAATGCGAAAAATCTATACCAGAGTCAAACCAGACATAACTGCCAGAGGAGCAAAGATTATTCTCGCATTCGCAGATGATGTAGATGCAATAGCACAGACAACACTGGAAGTTAAGGATATAGTATCGAACTTTGAAAAAGCAACACTAAGCGTAGGCTTGAAAATAAACGAAGAAAAAACTAAATACATGGTCGTATCAAAACAGGAACGACAGCGAATAAGACAAAACATTACCATAAACGATCATAATTTTGAGGTGGTCAAAGAATTCAAATACCTAGAAGCAACAATTACCAGTGAAAACACAGGAGAACGGGAGGCTGAAATACGAATACTGGCGGGGAATAAATCATTCTTTGCCATTCAACATCTAATGAGGTCAAAGCTTCTTTCAAGGCGTGCCAAAATCCAAATGTACAAAACCATAATACGACCAGTAGTGACATATGGAAGTGAAACATGGACATTGAGAAAGAAAGAAATCAATAAGCTATTAGTATGGGAACGCAAAATCCTGCGAATTATATATGGTCCTTGCAGGGACAGCGTGACAAATGAATGGAGGAGCAGATACAACAATGAAATAGAGACTCTCTTCGGGAAAGGAAACATCGTAAGATACATAAAAGCCAATAGATTAAGATGGGCAGGTCACGTGGTGCGGAGTGATGACGACAGACTGATTAGCAATGTGTTTTGGGAAAGACCAGATGGTAAAAGATCGACAGGAAGGTCTAGAAAAAGGTGGAAAGACGCAGTCAGGGAAGACCTGGAGAAGATGGAAGTAAGGCCATGGGAAATAACAGCACAGGATCGGAATCAATGGAAGGCAATAGTAAACGCGGCAAAAACTCACGAAGAGTTGTAAAAGAAAATGATGATGATGATTGGCCTGGTAATTCACCAGACCTTAATCCCATTGAGAACTTATGGCAAATTCCCAAGAAATATTTAGCTAAGATAAATTGCACCACAAAACAAAAATTTATAACAAGTGCTATACAAGTTTGGTTCAACGAAGAACATGTGTGCTAAACTAGTGGAGTCAATCCCAAGGCGTGTTAAAGAGATAATTTCTGCTAAAGGAGGGCATATTTCGTACTAATATATAGATTTTTCAGTCTACTGAATAATGTTATATTACTGACTAAAATAATGAATAATTTTTTTTTCATTTGTCTTAATTAATTCGAACAGTATAGTATATATAAAATATGATAATTAATGTCTATGATTCTTGAAATCCAGAACGGCATCGTGTAAGAACTCTATTAAATGTTCCACATTAACTTCTGGCTTTAACGTGGGGTTATAGGGATATTTGGTAAGAGTGTTACTGCAAGCTTTTGATTCCGGACAATATACCGATGACAGTACTACAGCAGGTTTTTCTACAGGGTATTTCTGACCTGAAAGAGAAAAAATATGAGAATTTATGTAAAAATATCTGTTTTATCAAGAAATACCAACTAACGTTAATATTGAACCCTTTACACCCATAATATGCTGATATTTTACTTTTATTCAATAAATAACATTCTAACTTCATTATTAAATAGCATTATGTACGTCATCACTCATGCTATTTAATAGCATTATGTACTCATGTTCTTTGGTGTTTTGTGATTTTGGAGTGTTCAGGTGTTATGATCGGTTATTACATGTCTCTTTTTGATTCTTCTTCTTCCCATTTATAAGTAATTCTACTTGTTTATTTGCGGATTAATATCTCTATGGACGGTTGGCAGAAGGTAAAATATCAAAAAAAAATCACAGCAATTAATCCAAAGATTGCTACAACGTGCTATACAGAAAACGTGTCACTCACAATGATTTACTCCAAACCAATAGTTTGCAATCAGTGCTCAGAAAATATACCGGAAATTACAATAGAAATTGAAAAAACATTAAGAGAAGTGACAACAACAGAGACCCAGGAGAAGATGGCATTGTCATTGTAAGTATGTATTAAAGCACAGGGAAAAATAAGTTACGCTTTTAAAGTTTTTGTTTAATAAATTGTTAAAAACTGGAAAAATCCCAATTTCATGAAACAATGCCATGGATCATGGTAATCATCCATAGGAAGGTCGACCTCACTGATTTTAACAACTACCGTCCAGTCAGTATCTTTTCCAAGGTGTACAGATTATTTATAAATATACTAAAGATTAACTTCAATACAAGTTTATCAAACGAAAGAACAGGCAAGGGTCATATCAAATTAGTATTTATGAAAATACATATACAGCAAACGCAAGAAGCCACTAGTCTTAATAGTTGTGAACTACAAGAAAATGTTTGATTAAATGGACCAAGACAAAATAATTGCTGCACTGGATGATTGTAGAGTAGACCGCGTATATGCAACATTAATTAAAAATAGATATAAAGGCTCAACAGCAAGTGTGAAACTTCACATTAATCCATCAGCATTTAAAATACAACGGGGAGTACAGCAAGGTGATAATATCTCATCCAAACTGTTTACAATGCTGATGGAATATATGGTTAAGAAACTTTAATGGGAAAATATAGTAATCAACAGCAATGGTATTTGATTAAACTGCTTCGCTGATGTGCTGATCTCAGACACTAAACTCTACGTCAATAGAGGTAAGTTTAAAAATTAGTGTTAAAAGACTCAGTATGTGACAAGTTTGGTCCTTAGGTGCAACATATTGTTACACAGCGAAAAATGATCACAGTGTATAAAGATAATATTGCTTACTTACATGGACCCATGACATGTGAGACAAACTAATGTTAAAACAATTGATCCTTAAGATATTACAAAATTTGTCAACATTACTAATATGTACCTAGGAATTAGGGTGACCCAAAATATTAATGATTTAGATGATGAATTGATACAGGATTTTTACAAAAGTTTTAGGCGTTTCTTGATTACAGCTTGTATGGAAGTACCAAATGAAATGATTTTGGAGATCCTTTCATGGGCATCTTCTAATTAAAAGTAGCTTTAACAGTTGCCAAAGTCTTTTACCATGAATATCAAAATTGCCCCGAATTTGTAATCCTCAACACCTACATGCAAAAGATCGATGAGGAATGGAGGAAACTTAAACAATAACAGGATATTTCAATAGAATTCGAAAATCTGTATGAATTCTATTTTAATGTGGACAAAAAAATATTTTGACAGTAATTCTTTATTTGATAATTTGAGTGACTTTGTATTGTCTGTGTTAACTTAACCCAATTAAGTGCAAGTTGTAAAGGACATTTTTCAAAAGTAAATTTAATAAAGAAGTGCAGGAACCTCTTGGTAATAGACACTTTATATCGCATCATGCATTCATCGCAATCAGTTCATCTTTAAAAGGATTGTGTCAATTTTACACCATCAGAAATAATAGAACAAACTATAAATATAACCAATTTTTACAATAAAGAAGCTTATGATAAACTGGAAGAATATAATATAGAATAATGATGAGGATTTTAACCGTAAAGTAATGTAAATGTGACAACTAAAACAAATATGGTAAAAAGCTATTTCTTAAAGGTTTACACATTTAAGTTTTAAGAACCAAAATTTTTCAACCTTTTTGTTTCCGGACAGGAACCGACCTTAAGTAAGACTTAAGCAAGCAATTAGCTACCGCTCAATAGTGTTTTTTTTTTTGACATGTATCATATTTATTACTGCGATACTGCACATATAATATATAACAAAAAAACTTACCTATTGTAACTGTCACCAAACAGTTATAGTCATCCAAATTATAAATAAAAACAGCCTTATTGTAAGTGAGTACATCATATTCAATAATACTTCTAAAACAAGCTGCTGCTAAATTAGTAATAAAAATTTTCTTCAATTTAAAATGATCGGCAACTTGCTGCAATCGTGTGTCTAGAGTTTTGGAAACCAATGAGACGACATCCGACAGTGAACTATCTTTCTTAAAATCTGTAGTATTGAATCGGAACCCTCCTAATACTTGTTCTAATCTAGGAGATAGGTGAATGGAGTGGGTAGAGCGGGAACCATCTAGCTTGGAGATTGTGACTAAATGTGCAAAATCCTCTCCTTGATTGTACAGCATATGATCTAATAAGTTGGATCCTTTGTATATGCTAAAAATGTAAGATTGAGTGGTAATAGGTGCAACATATTATTAACAAATACTATTATTTCAACCCAATAATAACTATCTTTACTATACTAAAGCAGTTTTTACTTAAAGACAATTTTTTAGCAACATCGCATTTAAAGCTACGAAAGGATATTTCCCTTATCAACTTTGCAGTGGCGTACCAAAATAAAATTTTAATTATTTATTTAAATACATACGTAATTACCTAAAAATTAAATCTAAGACCGATATAATTATTAAATTATTATATGTGTCTTGACGGATAAAGTAAAAGCCATATAAGAAGAAAGGTTAGTAATTAAGCAATGATTAATGGGCATCAAACAATTTTTAAAATTTAATTTCAATCATTTAAAAAGTAAATTATATAATTTCATATGTTTTATTATTGTTCTGAAGCTATTTTCTTGTGGCATTTTTAAGTAATTACTATTTAAATGAGAATAAGCCACAATTTAAGGTTAAAGTAAGTTTATTGACGTCTCAATTTCCACTTCAGGAATCATTCTCAAAATACAAACAGTAGTAAATTAAACAAATTTTATTTCTTTCTTAATAAAGAAACAAAATTTGTTTAATTTACTACTGTTTGTATTTTGAGAAGGATTTCCGAAGTGGATATTAAAACGTCAATAAACGTACTCTAACCTTTAATTGTGGCTTATTCCCATTTAAATAGTAATTACGTATATTTTATGTTCCGTAAGAAAATTTGATTTTGTTCCGTTAAAAGCAAATGAAATGAATATAATATTTATGTATAATTTATTACACACAATAAAATTTATTTTATTAATGACATTTTTAATATAGAAATCATTCAGTTTACTTTGTTATACTATAACTCTCCATATAATATATTCTCTCTCCTATGGCGCTACAGCCCACTTTAGGCCCTGTTCTCTCCCAGCATCCTCCTGCAAGTACCCCTTTCCTTGGCTATTCTCCTCCAGTTATCCACCCTCATTATCTCTTTAGCACCGGTTCTTACTTCGTCTATCCACCGCTTCCTTGGATTTTATATTGACCGACGTCCCATCATAGTTCCACTAAGAGTTCTAAGCTCCTACTAGGTGATCTATTATTATCCAAAAGCCCAAAATAAGAGGAAAAGAGTAACTACTTGGGAATATATCAAAGATACTTGATGTTTATGAAACTATGTTTTCATAAACATAAATCTTCTTTTATTATTGTCCTTAACGTCTTTTTGCTCATTTTTGGAATCAGACCATTCTCCATTACCTTTGTCCTAATGGATTCGAGGGTTGGCGCTTTATTCTCAAAAAAGAAAGAATGAATAGTGAAGCGTACAAAATTTTTCTGGTACTCTTCCAATTTAATTTTTTTCTACAACGATAATGTACTTTTGGAGCTTGCACAATCCCAGTCACCTTTTTTCACGTACAATGCGTTCTATTGTGGACGCGGATACTCCCGTTAAAAATGAACACTGAGCTAAAGCTTCTACTGTACGAAGTGTATTTTTGAAATTTTTATACACTCTACAGACAATCTGCTTTTCTTCTACCGACATAAACTTCCGTTTTCTTTGTACATTGCTTGGACCCGCTACGTCATCCATCTTAATGCTCTAAAAAGAATAAACATCAATCATAATATTCTGCTATGTATTTGTTGTTTACTTACCACAAAAAACTATTTTAAAATTAATAAATAATAATAAAGTCTATTTAAAAAATATATAAAAGAAAGGCACATGCACAAGAAACAGAACACACCCCGCCTCTGGACATATAAGAATGTGAAACGAATCAAATATATCATCTCATTACTATTTTTTCCAAGGACGTAAATATATAGCCAAGCGAAATGTTGATAAGTTTACCGATGTTTTAAAATATTTAACTGAACTGGTCCAACTATACGTTCGAAAAACGAACCGGTATGCACAATTTATATTGTTACGTGGGCAAATGTTATGATATTATTTCGTATATTTTACTTATTTACATTGTCGAAGCATACACAATAAAAACGACCCCGGTAAGATTGTACTCCCGATATTTAGCATTGTTGCCGTTAGCTCTCAGTTAAATTTGTAAATGAGACATCTTTAATTGAAATCTGTGTGACTATAACAGATACATTTTTAGTCACTTTTTTCTTTATTCAGGATTAAATCTTTTGGGAATCTTTGTATTCTATTATTCTATCGAGCTAGAAAGCCTCTCTAATAAAAATTATATTCACAGCCAAGAAAAAGCGCGCCAAATGCATGAACATCTTTCCGTCGGCATATTTATTGCCTTTCTTTGTAGACGGGAATCGCGATCTGTTCACGTGTAACTGTTTAATCGTGCGTTTTCTTAGCTGTAAAGTAGGATTATGGATATTTGTGAAGTTAATTACAACTTCCGATCTGAATTAAGTATCTTATTCATATACTTTTCAAATATTTTTAATGGGAATTAACCACAATTTCAGTTTAAATACGTTTATTTTGACGTTTCGATTTCCACTGTGGAAATCGTTTTCAAAAAACAAATTTAATTAAGTAAGTAATTTATTCGGAAAGGAAATCGGAGGTGAAAACCTTGAAATGGACTGTTACAACATCAGATCTAGTTGCAAGCAGTACTAGACATTGAGAAAATTGATCTGTGTCTCGTTTCTGAAACACACTTCACTAAACAGTCACATGTTAAATTTTAGGGGGTATAGAGTATATTCTACTGGACACCCAGATAATGCAGCTAAAGGAGGAATTATAATAATTAAAGACAAAATCTTACATCATGAGGAATTAAAATATGCAACTGAGAACATACATACAAGCTGCAACAGTATGTGTAAAGATGAAAACACATACCATAAATATAAGTTCAATATATTGTCCTCCTAGACACTCCATTCTTCTTCTTAATGTACCATCTCCTTTCAGAACGTTGGTTACCATCACAGCTATCTTAATTTTATTTACTGCCACCCTAAATAGCACGCCAATCATGCGTATCAACACCATACCAATTTCGCAAGTTCTTCAACCATGAGGTTCTTCTTCGTCCTGGACTGCGTTTGCCTGCTATTTTTCCTTGCATGATATTTTGTAGCAACCTATATTTAGGACCTCTCATTACATGTGCGAAATACTCCAGCTTTCTCTGCTTGATGGTTTTGTGATCTCAGTAGTCTTGCTGAGACGTTCTAGTATTGTGGAGTTTCAAATCTTCTCCACCCATGAAACTTTGAAAATTCTTCTATAGCACCACATTTCGAAAGCCTCAAGGCGATTTAGATCGATTTTATTTACAGTCCAGGACTCGACACCATAAAGTAAGACCGAGAACACACGTAGCAGCGAAGTAGACGGATCCTTAATGCCAATTTAAGGTCTCTGTTACATAACATCTTGGACATCCTTCTAAAAGCAGCTCTAGCCTGCTCTATCCTGGATCTAATTTCGCCGTGACTTTCTGCGTTACAATTTAATTGCTGTCCAAGGTAAACGATTTTATCAACTTGCTCAAGTTTGGTATTACTTACATATATAGACGGTTTTATATGCTGTTGTTTACTTATTACGAGTATTTTGGTTTTCCTTATGTTAAGATCCAAACCTGCCTCCCTACAACTCTCAACGACACTATCAAGTAGTGTTTGCAGATCTTCTTGACTAGAAGCTAGGAGTACTATATCGTCCGCATATCGCAAATTATTGATGACTTCGCCGCTCATATTAGTATTCCTTCTTGTTTTTCAGAAAGTGCTTTTCTGAAAATTCTTTCGGAGTAAACGTTAAAAAGCAGGGGTGACAAGAGGCATCCCTGCCGTACTCCTCTTTTGATATTGAGAGCCTGTGATTCCACACCATCTACTAAACATGATGTTGTTTGATTCCAATATAAATTTGCAATTATTCGAACATCTCTGCCGTCCAAGCCATGTCTTTTAGAGCTTCGATCAATATAGAGTACACGATCAAATGCCTTTTGGAAGTCAATAAAACAACAGTATATGTCTACAGATATATCACGACATCTTCGAGCAAGTACGTTCTTTCCTAACAGTGCCTCTCTCGTTCCAAACCCGTTACGGAAACCAAACTGAGTGTCATCCAGGTATTCCTCGCATTTATTGTAGATACGACCATGTATTATCTTCAGAAAAATTTTCAATGAGTGGTTTAACAAACTGATGGTTCTATAATCAGCACAGGTTTTTGCTGTTGTCTTCGTAGGTAGAGCTATAAACAGTGAATTAGACCAACCATTAGGTAGTTGTCCGCTGGTATAAATGGTATTGAAAAACGAGGTTATAGCCTCTAAAACATTGCTATCATTTATGAGCTTATATATTTCAGTTGGAATTTCATCAGGACCAGTCGCTCTGCCTTCTTTTGATGATTGTATGGCATTTATAACCTCAAAGCGTGTTATTAGGGGTCCGCCACAGTTAGTAATATCGGGAGGTGAACTACTCCTATCGTCTTCGAATAGTTTCGTGACGTAATTTTCCCATTCTTTGCCCTCTACTTCAAATATTACTTTACCATTTTCATCCTGTAGCAATGCAGTTTGTTTCTTATTGAAGATACCAGCCGTTTCCTTCACTTTTTTATACGTTAAACGTGTCGTATCTTTTTTCAAGTTCTTCAATGTCATGGCACTGTTTGGCTAGATGTTGACTTTTTGCTTCTCGTATTTTACGTCGGATTTCTTTTTGTATGCTATTATAAAGTGTTTCGTTGTTTTTCGCTAGTCGCCGTTGTTCCATCAAATCCAGTATGTCATCTGTCATCCAAGCCTGCTTTTTTAGCTTTGACCTGGCTTGTAAATTTCTCACACAGATTTCTTTTGCTGTTGATACGATTTTATTTAAGCCATCATCGATGTTTTCACCAATATTTTCCCAAATTAAATTTTCGTTCAGTTGTCTTTGAACTGATTCCTTAACTTTCTCGTCTTGTAATTGGGCTGTATCAATATTTTTGCGTTACTTCTTTTTGATCACCTTTTT